AAAAAAAAAAAGATTATATCTCAAATGTTTTCAGTGCTCAATAAACCCTTCTATAGGTGGGTCCTACACAACACAAGATCCTAAAGATAAAATCACTATCTGAAAGAAAAAAAAAAAATCATATTCCTAAAAGATAATAAAATAACTTATTTAACCTAATCTAGATACTTATATATTTATTTATATCTCTATCAACAACTAATCATATGGTAGAAATTTCGAATATTTTCTCAAGAGAGGTAGCCTGTATTGATACTTATATGTCTATTGTGCTGGCCCAACAAAAATATATGTTCTTTCCATTTATTACCATTTCATAATTCACATAGAAACATTAAGATTGAAGTTCATTTAGTCAATTCATGTCACAAAATTGTAAATTGTATAGTTAATATTAACATAGCTTCATTTTAATAGTATCTTTTAGGTATACTAGTCAACGTTTTAAATTTTTAGGCTATCATTGCCAAACGTGTTGAGCCTTATTGGCAGACTCTCATGTTTCGGGATCTTATGTGACAAAATTACGCTTCGTTATTAGGCTTGGGTTTATTTCCAATCCAAAAATAAGTAGGTCCGAAATATCCATAAATATGTTGATTATTTATGTTAATGTTACATGTATCAATTGTATTTAATATCATTTCTTATTATAACCATTGGATTTTAAATGTATTTTAAAAGTTAATAACTTTAAAATTCTTTATCCGTTTTACATATATAATACATCGAATTAATCATCTCTTGACGAGTTTCGATTTAACATCCATATTGTACGTATAAAGAAAATAAATTATATTTATCTTTATAACAATAATAAAATTACTTTTTAATATTAATTAGAAAAATAAAATTATTTATCAATTAATATATTTATATTTCAAGTAGTTATATGATATAAGTTATAAAAATTACTATAATATAATACATGTATGTCGCACGAGTAACAAGTGTCATTCTAAAATATGTAATAATATACATTTTTTGTGTAAAAAAATAAATAAAATTTAAAATAATTTTTCTCATTAAATTTTAAAATTTAAGAATAATTTTATAACAAGTACCGTGTAGTACGTACACAGGTGATGTATTATATAACCTTGCCAAAGTTCAGTTGTTAGATATGACTGTAAAATGAGACAGTATCATGAATCATGATTAACACTTTGCCTCGACAATTAGATTTCGATTAAATTCAGTTGATCAGCTTAAACCGCGTTTTGACAATCTACAAAATTAACAAAGGTTAATACGCGTGTATTATTTCAAAGGCATAGGAAAAAATCGAAAAAGTGTGGCCAGGCGCCATGGACTTTTTTAGAGATTGATCATGGACTCTTCGCTGACACGGAACAATGGAGATTGATCATGCCTTCTGATTTCGAGTCGAGCATATTTTTAAATATGTGGCATAACCTATTCAATCGGTTCTACTGGGGGCGAGTGCACGAGTACAATTTTTATGTAGCAATCGAGCATATTTATAAATATGTGACATAACCTATTCAATCGGTTCTACTGCAGGAGAGTCCACGAGTGCGATTTTTATGTAGCAATACAAAATAAAATGTGGGAGCTGTTTAAACAAAATTTTCTTCAAGAAACATCCATTCTCTTTCACTAGTAAATGGTCGCCCGCATGTAGCGTAATATAAGTCTACAAGACTAGAACTCCATTATAATCCTACTATGCCTAGTTAATTTTCTGACCAAGTAGACTTATAAGCTTATAGTGGATCCCTTTACAAACACAAAACACTTCTCCTAATTGTCATGGATAAAAAAAAATGATAAAATGAAAAATATCCATATTTCATTCCATAAGAACACGAACTAAAAGCTCGACTAAATCAATAGAATACAATGAAACATAAGCACTCAAAACTCTCATAATTATGAGAACATAACGAGCTCTCTCTCTCTCTGAATTGTTATAATTCAATGATGAAGCCTTCTGAATATATTCCTTGATTTGCATAATCAAGAAATATCCACATTAATGATAAGAAATATCCACATTAATGATGGAACCCGAAGTAGAAAGTTTATGCATCCAAAAATTCATTAAGCACCTTTTGAACTCAAAGTTATAGAGCTTGGGAACACCGATAAAATATGCATCAACGGAATGAATATATTCTTAACTTGATGTAATGTCACATTCAGGGTAATGTGATGTTGTAAAATATGCATCATAGTTCGTTTTATTCAATTCTACAATATTAACGAGACGTATATTCCTCAACGGATGGAAAAAGAACATTCCAATAATAATCTGTAACTCATACAATACTCTAGATTGGGCATCGAGTGCAGAAAGAAAAACGATTGATGCAGATACTCATAATATGCTCTGAATTCTGAAAATCCCTGCCTAATCCTTATTCAGTTCCAGTCCGTAGCGTCTATGGGCCTCGCACTCATTAACGAGCACAAGTGATACGTGAAGCTCTACCAAGTAGAATACAACCACACAAACGACAACTCAAAGAAAATTAGGCAAAATTTGTGCAACGGAAGATTAGATAATTGAGACAAAAGATACTAAAATACATGCACTTGCACACAAATATTCGCAAGGATCACCATGCAAAAGGATTTGCCCCTAGCAGGAATATTTCATTCTCAACATCTTTCACCCATTGGCAAACCCGATTGCATACCTTAATAGCAAGAGCCTGCAAACAAGAGTTGTCAACATTCACGATTTGATTAGAAAGTTATGTTTGTCCAAGTCTGTTACATGCAACGGCAGAAGTAGATATTTGCAAAGATCGAACCTTGTCTGCAAGAGGATCAAAAGCAGCATACAGTTCAAAATCTTGTGTGACCCAGCAAAGTAACACTGGACATCAAAGGACTTGTTATAAATATCACCAGCATGAAATAAAGTGGTCATGTTGTACTTTCAAGACGTGATTACAGTTAAATATAACACTGCCGGGCGAAACTGAATAAATATGGAAGTTCCAGCTTAAATAATATGAAGTCGTATAGAAGCACAGGGTGCTTGCTATGATCAATAACAAATCAACAAATACTTGGAGAGAATTTAAAAATGCATTAAATCTGGGAGAAATGTGCTCTGGTAATACAAATTAAAAGGATGCATCAACATGTGATCTGGTTTCAAGTTGTCCTTACAATTTGAAAGCATCCAACAGAGAGGAAGAATTACCATAATTTTCATCCCTTCTAAACTGGGTTTTGTGAGGACCTATTCCTTTATCATGCATGGAGGTATGTAGTTTCTGATAGGCCCTATATAATCTGCAAAACAAGAAGCCATTGTCTGCAATCAAGTACCGCAATCAAGCCTCCGAAAATTCTTTAGTGAAGAATAACATGATTTTTGATCTACCAAATTTCTAGTTACCTCTTTTGCTGTCTCAAGCTGTTGATTGGATATGAAAATTCAGATGACACAAACTGGTCAAGATGGATACTTCTATACATGAAATGCCAGAGTCCCGCAGGCCCACCAATTCCAGCAAATCCATCTGCACCTCTTCCAGGGGAATCTGTTGCTAGTCTAGGTTGACCGAGATGAGAAGACATAGCTCCTGGTCGAGAGGTGGGTTCCACAAGTAGATCCCCAATATGCATACCACCGTCTACCAAGGATCTTTGAACTTCGCTTAATACATTCGACTCCACAAGTACAGTCTCAATTCGAATCCTATAAGAAAAGTGTAACCCGCATGGATAAAAAGGCCAGATTATTCAAGAGCTATCGTACAGCTCCACGTGCTACAAGATTTTATAGAAACAATACAATTGAGGGGCGATTTGAACAGAGATGTATGGGTTTTTATGGTTATTAATATGTAAAGTTACCTGCTGTCTTTTAAATGATAGAAGGCATCTGAACTCGCGGTAAGTAAGACCAGGTATGTATCAATCTGTGATAAGATTCAGTAGTTCATCACTGTTCGAAAAATTGATACAAACAACACATAAGGTGAGCCACATAACTAAGATCTAGGACTTCTTGCAAACCCACAATCTACAATATTGATCCACTGGATGCGATATTTCCTTTTCATACATGCAAGATTGTTTTTAAAAATTTGCTCCAAATTTAAGAACGACTTACATCAAAATAGTGCACATAAGCATAAAGAAACGCCATCGGATTGTATCTTGGCAGGCAAATTGGAGAGAAGGATTCAGATGTCCTGCACAAAATTGAGAAATGACAATACTGTTTATTCGAAAATTGTAAGTACCATTACATCATTAAAGTTGAAGGGGCAAAAAAAAAAAAAAAAGCTTCTTCTTTATGCAATATTTAATTATTTCCTTAGAAGAAAAGGGTCATGGATTCTATGAATATGAAGCACCAAACCTAAATAACAACTAATACAATTTATTTATTTCGCGTGTGGAAACTTGTATTATGCTCATATGGATGAAAAGAGGAGCACGTGTGACTGTTCTGCTGGACACAGAATTCCACATAATCAAAGTAGCCAGTAAATAAAACATATTTCGCTGCTTTTGTTTGTATTATGTCCAAAAGATGAGAAACAAAGAAACATGAATGGACGATGGAAACAAATACTGAACAACCAGGTAAATGCAACCAACAATACTGTGATCAATATCACACAAAATGCAGGTGCAGATGATGATCAAGCTATATAATGGAAGGGATACATCAGATAAGCATATCAAAATCCTTCCTCCCACCCACCCCCTAAATTCCCAACAGTGTCTGTTGCCATAAAAGATGGCACATTTCCATGCACGCTCAACAAATGGTGTCATGACTATGGAAAAATAGATGAACTCATACCTCTGAACCTAGCTCATAGCAGAAGTTCTGCGGAGTCTTAAGAGAACTTACCTAAAAGACTCAGAAGACATAATAAAATTGGAGAGCAGCAGTATATCATCGGGATGCAGAGATGCTTTCTGGGTGCCGAAAAGACTGATAACCTGCATTGCTTTACAAATTCCGGCATTAATTATCCATAAGGAAATTATAGCTATGGGGGAGGTAGCTGACATCCACCAACTTCAATTGCATTGACACTACTGAATTAAACACGCTTTTTACCACTAACCATCAATATCTGTATAATAAGATTATCACTACATGATATTTACTAAAAATTAGATAGTAGTATTATCATAATTACTATAAATAGAAAATTAATAAAACAGTAAACAACAACAACAACAACAACAACAACAACATACCCAGTATATTTCCAACAACAATAAACATTTAATTGATTTTTTGTCTATTTTATAACAGATATATATATCTGTTATATATATATATGTATATATATATATTTATATATTCATTGTTGGCAATTTTATTTTATTTATATAAAATATATATATTTGACATATATATTTGACAATCAATTATATACAAATTCATTGTTGGCAATTTTATTATCATTGGAAGAATATCACATTTCATGGAAACGGGATATCAACATAGCCGGTGATTTGTTTCGGCAATAAAATATCTATACAGTATGTCGTATATCATTTGTTGTTCACATATTTGAAAACATTATACTAAAAACAATATGTAAAGAAAAACAAACAAGTGTATGCCATCTAGATGATCAACTAATTTATTGTATGTAGAACCACTATACCAATCACTTGGCTAAAAGATTAGTACTTATGCCATATACTCTAACTAAGTAAGAAAATTAATGAATTAACAAATAAATTATAAAACAGTGTAGTTGGAAACATCAAGTTTTCGGTGCATTTCACAGGCCATACACTAGTATAATAAAAGAAGGAATATAGACATTTTGGACAGAGACCAGCAAGATGCTAAAAATGACTTAGTATCTCACAATCACAAACACCAAAAATCAAATGTTATATAGTTCAAGAAATTGGTATCACGTGAAACACATGGAGCAATAAAGATAAATCCACATCATACAACACAGCAGATTACAGATAATGTGAAGTAACCATCTACCCAAAGTTTAAGTATTCCTGCACCATCCCAAGTTATTCCATTACAGAACTTTGCATGAAATAATTACCTTGTGTTTACACATTAAGAGGGAAAACAGGATTCCTGAACCGGCAACATTTTGCAAGATTGCACCTGCAGCTTGGCGTGTCGCATAAGCCATGGGAAGACATGAATAAGCGTGAAGATAAGTGGCAGGATTCCTACAAAAGAATATTACACATTCTAATTTAGTTCTAAGTTAAATCCGGCTAATACAAATATTACGCTATAAGGAGTTAAAATACAAATTATAAGCATTTGAAGTATAATATTGTATTTGAACTACCAGATCATCAGTAACGTAGATGAGTTTCATTAAATGTTGACTGAGACAACTCCTTGTTTTCTTGCAAAAAAATATTATTAAGTTCTATTATATCTTTTAGATTAGTAAATTCATCAATGTCTGAATCATATAAATAGATAAAACTAATTAAAACAACTCATTATTGTATTCAGAACTCCATATGTTGAAGTCTCGAAGATGCTTTCACTAGTGCCAACTTGCATCAAATAATTAGATTTTCCTTGGTCATACCAATTACATAATCATCAATACTTATCATTATCAGTGTTTACGATAAGCATCATTAAGCATTCTACTACATAGAGTGAACTACACGAAACAAGATAGAAGTTTATCTACAGGTCCTAAAGTTGATATATTTATTCTTCATACACAATTCATCATTTAAAAAAGAAAATGCATGTGTTCCTTCAAACTACAATCCTCAACACTAATCATAATTAATAATTAATTGCATAACCAAGTACATTAATTTATATACAGCTAACGAATCTTCCATTGTTTTTAATTTTTCCAGCAATCTATTATGACCACAAGCTTAACTACATAATTATATTATTTAATTTTGATACTATCCATAGAGCTCAAACCGTATCAGTGAAACACCTTAGACGATGTTAAAAAAATAGAGAAAATAGAAAACCCATAAACAGAAAAGACAACTAAGCCACCAGATTATTTATTTTCCCCCAATAGTCATGACGTATAAGAAATACCAACTGAATGAATGGATGAGAGAAGAGAAGACCACATCTGTTCCTCCAAGCAGAGACGTCATATCAAACTTGGGATTCCTCTCAAAGCATCGATTGACAGACTTCGTTAGGATAAGTATCATCTGAAGGGAGACCAGAAACCATAATATAGTGCAAAAAGGACCATAAAAACCATATTATAATGCAAAAGGGGTCCTTAAAAGGAAATTGATTGACAAACAAGGAAGGCAATATACTAGATGAAGTTTCTAAAACACATAAATCCAATTTATTTAACAAACAAAAACTGCCAATATGTATGGATTATAAGATACCTGACCATAGAGGAGTTCCAGCTGCCCCGTTAATGATTCATAAGCCTCTTCCGTGCAACTTATGCAGACCAAGTAAATTGGTCCTTTAACAAGAAAAACTACCTGAAATTAAAGATTGCACATCAATAAACGAAATTTTACGGTCATGTCTACACTACATATCTATCTATCTATATCTATCCATACTATTATTATAAATTATAAAAAAAGGAATGATTTTGTAAAAAATGCACGGACTAAAAAGTCCTTATATTTAATCTATTTTTAATGGTAACATCTGAATTATCATTAATTAAAAATAAAAACTACTTAAAAAATTAATTTCAATTGTTTGAGATGAAAGGACCACTCTAATTATATAAAAGTGGGATTCTTATTATTATATATTAAAAAGACCCGTCTCTATCGTATTTGAGATAATATTAATGGTAAAAATTATAGTTACATATAATCCAAATTAAAAGCTATATATACTTCACAGAATTGGACTCCAATGAAAACCAAATCCCATAAAGATTTAAGTTTTTTATAAGAGAATTGAACGAAATATATGAAAAAAATACTTCTTATGTATAAACAAAATTATAATTATATATAATACGATACAAATAATATAACTAATTTTGTTAAATAAATTACAACCCCAACAAGAAAAAAAAGACGAGTGTTTTAACACCATCAATATATAACAAGTTTTATAAACACCATGAAAATACTTTTCCATACACAAATACCATTATAATATATTCTCCATTGGAATTTTGTGATTAACATTTAATCACGTAGAATACCGAAAATAATATATATTTAATATTTATCGTTTTATTACAGCATTTTATGAAAACAAATATAGAAACTTAAATGTTAAACTATGTAAAATGTTCGAAAGAATATTGTTAGTCGAGCAATCACATATAATTATATTTTTAAAAAATAAATTAAATAGTTATTTTGAAAATTATGATATGTTTAAAAATACTCATGTTAATTGCGCAATCAAATATAGTTATAATTTTCACGATAATGTAAACGGTTTTTTTTTTCAATTATGATATTTCATCTTAAAACATAAAAAAATAACAAAAAAAAAGTAATTTCACTTGCTTAAGATGAAAGGACTACTGTTATAATATATATAATTAGGACTCTCATTATTATATATTAAAAAGACCCGCCTCTATCTTATTTGATATAATATTAATGGTAAAATTATTATTACATATAATCTAATAAGAAATCTATATATACTTCACAGAATTGGACTCTAATGAAAATTATAATCCATAAAAAGATAAGTGTTTTAATAATAGAATTGACCGCAATATATAAAAGGGTTATATCTCGAGTATAAACAAAATTATTATAATTATCTATAATACAATACAATATAATATTATAAATTATGTGAAATATATTATTAACTCCAACAAGAAAAAATCACCATCAATATATAACAAGTTCTATAAACACCAAGAAAATACTTTTACCATAGACAAATACCATATAATACATTCTCCATTGAAATTTTGTATTAATATTTATTCTGGTCGAATATCGTAAATAATATATATATATATATATATATTTTATTATATATATAGAAAACTAATATAGAAAACTTAAATGTAAAACTATGTAAAATGTTCAAAAAGATTATTGTTAATCGAGCAATCACATACAATTATATTTTTCAAAATTATTTAAATAGTTATTTTTAAAATTATGATATGATAAAAAAATACTAATCTGAATCGAGGAATCAAATATAGTTATACCTTTCATGATAATGTAAATGGTTTTTTTATTTAAGATATTTCATCTTAAAACAAAAAGAAATAAACAAACATATCGTTCCCATGAAAAGCACGTAATTTGCTCAAAACAATGTTATTATAAAAGATATCAAACTATAAACTAACTCAATTAAGTTGATAATTAAATCATGATTCCTATTATTTGTTAGTACCTAAAGTAATGGGACATGTACTGTAATTAACTATGAATTCATGTTTTTTAATGTTCAGACTTGATGGGCAATATTATAATTCCTATGTCATTGTATAATTAATTATTTATTTATTTAGGTCATCGATTTTTGAAATGCACTAAATAAAGAACAATTTTAATTAACATATTTCCAATCATATTAGTGCTATATTTGCATGTGAATTATTTCAATAATAACCATTATAAGAATAGCACAATGTTAAAAAATCAATTTAGTATAATAATTGTCAATTTAGATTTTTGGTTAATTAAGAGGATAAAGTGTACGTTACTAATGAATTAATGTTTGTAGTATCATGTAACATACAAAAGATTGGCAAAAAAATCTACATACGTGTTAGCGCACCAAAAAATAAAAAATAAACAATTGAAAGATCCCTAATATGTGAGAAGTAAAAATTTCAAAAAATAAAATAAATTCACACGCAAAAGCTCAAATTCAGCTCCATTCAATTATTCATAGTTCAAACTTGAAAAAATTTGTTATAGTGAGGGGTTAAAAGTTGATTAAATTGTTTAGTTTGTTCATATAATTTTTTTTACAATTTTTTGTTACAGTGAAGGATTTTTTATCATCGTTATAATCCAAATAAGATTAAGAAAAGATAACAAACAAATGTTCATTGATAAAACAAATAATCATTAATCTTTTAATTTTTATTGATAAAACATATAAACATTAATCTCTTAATTATTGTTTTACACTTTTAGTGATATATACAATTAAAGTGTTTTTTTTTTTTTTATTTTGTTATTCATTTGACCAAATTGTGCTTCCTGTGTGTAATTGGTCAAACAAAGTGTTTTTTTAGGTGACATCTACGTAGTATATGGATATCAATGAATAATTCATGTATAGGAATCAAAAGTTAGAAGGGAAAACAAAAAATGATAGAAGCAGGAGGATGTGATGGCATGGCTATGAATGAATGTGGATAATAATGGTGGATTAAACTACATACTTGAATTGATATTCCAAATATCTAATTTGGTTCCTTGCAAATTGGTAATGTGAACATATTAATTTAGTGCAATCACACTTTAAAATAAAAATTAAATGATTTAAAAGAATTATTGGGATAGAATTATCCTTAAAAAGGAGGATAAAAATGCACTTTTCCATAATGTGCAAAAGTTATGATGTTTGGCTGGTGTGTCTATAAAATAATTAAATTTTTTAAAATTGGTATCAGATAGTATATATAGAAAAGTATTTTAAATTGCTGTCTTTATTTATTTTTGGACATCTATGCAAGACATTTAATTAATAAAATAAATATTTCATAGTCACCAAGTCAAATTTTGGGATAAGGAAAAAGATTATTATATCAAATCACAAAATACAAATCAAATTAAAGTCTTTTTCTTCAATACTCCCTTTACTACATCTATAAAATAGATCTCAAATCCCACACCACATAATTTAAGTCTCAAATTCAAAACCTTATAGAACTCTTTTGAATGACTGAAAGTCATTCTTGAAAATCCAAGAGCATTCAAGATTAAATCGATATTTAATCCGGATTAGCCTCCGAGCAACCCAAGTGCACTAAAAGAATGCCAAAAATATGAAAAACGAAAAAAAAGGTTTCATTTCCTTTCCAAGAAATAGAGGCGCCAGCAACTCTGCTCAAGTTAAGCCAAGAAGATCAACAATGTTCTAGGCGACATTTAACTTGAAGTCGTCGTGAAACTCAATTAACGTAGCGTTTGATCCGAAGAAAAGCTTTCAAGCGCTCGATCAACGTTACTCAAGTTCAAGTCCATTTCTTGAAGATCAAAGAATAAAGACTATCAAGAAGACCTCCAATCAAATCAAGTCATAATATACAATTCGGGTCATTAAACCCCAATGTGTATATATAATTTCGTTCAAACTCAAAGCCTGAAGGAGATCCAATCGAAAAATCCAACTTTCGAAAATCCAAATCGAAGTCCATGAAGTGAAAAATCAGAGGAAACATATATGGGGTGACTGGTAAGTAGTTATAACGAATAAAAATCGATTTTTATTGGAACCTAAGTTAAACTAAGTTATTTTAAATAAAGTTATTGAATGGGATGAGAGATTGTAATCAAATAATATATAAAATATAATGATTAAGTTGATGTGATGTAAAATTAGGATAGAGATGAATGCGATAAGTATTTAAAAATATATGAATGGATGGATAGTGAATTAAAATTGATGTGATGTAAAAAAAGATGGTTTGTATAATTTAATCATATAGTTGATGAGATGTAAAAAAAAAGATGGTTGGTATAATTTAATTATGTAGATAATATTGAGGATAGTGAGATTGAGTTAGATTTAGAGTTAAATGAGTAAAAAAAATTTGATCGATTATAACTTCTTAGTGGATGTTTGGATATAAGATTTTTTTGTTTTTTTTTTTTTTTGTTAATTTTGAATATGGTGGTATAATTAGTTGTAAGTGGGATTTTGAGTTTATATAAAATAATATTTAAATAAATTAATTAAAGTTAATTTTATGTAAAAGTAAGAAGGAGATAATGTGAAGTGATGATAAGTTAATATTATGTTTGAGTAGATGAATAGTGAATTAAAGTTGATTTAATGGGTAAAAATAATTGATTGATATTATTTAATTATATTGATAACATTAGGGATAGTGTAGTTGGGTTAAAGCTGAGTTAGATTTGAGTTAAAAAAGAAATTGGTTAAAAATGTTTGGATTTTTTTTAGAAATCATGTATCCAACCATGCTCTTACCATCATTTCATAGAGATAAAATCAAATTGTACAAAAGTTTATGTTTTTCCTAAAATATATTGTTACAAATTTGGCAAAGACCGGAGGGACGATCTCTACTTTTCATCTCCTTTTCAAATCAAGTTCGAAGATATTCGGGGGCGCAATTGAAGATGAAAGGCTCAAACTTTGAAGCCGCCGAAATCATCGACTTCATCAAATTCAAAATAAAAGTGATCTTCCATATTCTTTTAAAATTCTAGAGGGGCAATTCACGTGAAGATCTCCATCAAATCAAATTCATCATGTTGTTTACGAGCCTATACTATCTATAAATTCAAATGCTCCTTAGCAGAAGCCTAAACTATGAACAATGCTCTTTATACGAGCCTAAACTATCCAAAAATTCGAATTCCCCTTGACGCGAGCATAAATTATCTACAAAATCAAGATCTTCTAGACACGTGAATAAAATGTCTACAAGTCAAATCAATATCTCATGACTACAAGTCAAAATCAAGATTAATGACATGAGCAGTGACAGTATAAAAGAAGATGGGAATGATAGCTGAAATTAAAGATAATGAGACAATCGACATTCTTATGAAATGTGTGAGGATAATATAAAAAAACGAAGGAAAAGAAAATCATTCCTCTAATCATCAACAAAAATGGAGAAGAACTGAAGCATCTGTAATACAAGAATTGATGCATTTATAATGTACTTATTTCATTATTTCACTTTCATTGCATTGGAGATTCATTTAACTTTTTCATCTATTTTGGAGCATTAATATGTTATTTCTTTTCCCTTGTAGTAGACCTTATTATGTTATGTTGTGACAACATAAAAGCAGGACTTATTTTATTTTTATTTTTATTTCATTCTTGCAATGACATATATTTTAAACTTATCAATTTTTTATAATAAAAAATTTTAATTGGCCAAATAAATTTACCATCATGCACTTTCTTACTACATGTAAAAGGGAAAAGAAAGGGTAATAGTCACACTTCTCATTATTTCAAAAGTCATCCATCACATCCAAAATTCTACTATGATGATTTTGACACCAAAAAACTCAGGATGAAAGCAGTTCTAAGAGCAACTTTAGTGGTAAACTTCTATAAACCTCACTTCTCAATTTTCAATGTGATATGTCATCTAAAATCCAATTCTTACTCCAATAACTACAAAACTCAAATAATCATAAACCTTACAAATTTAAAAAAAATAATAAAATAAAATAAAAATTAAAGCAGGTGTCTAAAAGTGACAGGTGCGAGTATGGCTGCAAACGAATCGAGCCGCTCGCGAGCGCTCGAGTCAAAGCTCGACTCGAGCTCGAGTTTGACCGAACTCGAGTTGAGCTCGAGCGGCTCGAGCCCATATTTTGCCTTGTCGAGCGGCTCGTCGAGCGGCTCGAGATACATGTTAAATTACCTATGTTCGAATCTCGACAAACAGAAAAAAAATGAACCAGTTGATGCAGGTCCATTCAAACACTACTGCCAATTGTTTGAACTACTGTTTGTAGAGCTAGTTGAAAATTGCATATAATGGAGTAGTATAGTGCTTCTTAAAGTTATTACGACAATTTAACAGAATTACACAGCCACCTATCCAAGTCTGGCCAGCTCAATTTATATTCTCATACATGAGAACAAAGTTTCACTACCATATCAAAGTACATGACAGGTGCAGACTATAGATATGGTGAATAAAAAACTTAACCTAAGGGTATATGTACAGCAGAGGCAATTCATTCTCAACCAACTTATTTTCCTAATTCACACAAGCTAATATAGAGCTAGAGCAGCACCCAAACCTTCTCCCGAAGAAGCATATGCATCATTACTAAAAATCACAGGTGTCAATGAATCTTCGTAAAAGAAAAGTTCAATGAAACAATGAACCTGGTGTTTACCAGCTCGCACCAATTTGACCCGGTCACCCCTGCAAAAATTATCATTAAGCCTATAAAGGATATCAGATATGCGGCAGAAAGTCAATAAAACAAGGCAAGACAACTATGGCTCTCATGAGTAACACACCCATTTTCGACAAACGAAATGATGGCTTGCAAGGTTGCAGAGAACCCGGCTAGCTTGTGTTCATCCCCATATCTGCAGTTCAATAGCAGAACCATGCAAGAGAATATCATTTTATGCATAGCTATATGAATAAAATAGACAGACACTAATATAATTATCTTTGAGCACATCTCATTTAGCAAACAAACCTCGAATAGATGGGTTTCCCGGAGTTACTCAAAATAAAGAAGTGTTTCTTCCTTTTCCTCCAAGAAACTGAAGCATCATCCTGCAGCTCACTCATCAATTAAACAGCATATAGGAGCAGGTAATGCAGACCTGAGTCTATCGAATCCTATAGCAACTTAATGTCAGTTAAGAAAACTAGTTACAGCCTTACCAAATGAAGCATACATATCATTCCCGGCCACAATAAAAGAATATAAGCACTGGCATTCACATATTATTACGTTGGAACTAATCACTCCTAAACTAAAATACCCATCATTAAGAATGAAAGCATTAAAATGCAAAGAACAATATAGCCAGCTAACCTCATCAGGATGACGTTTCCCTGAAACCCACTGTGCATGGTATCCCAAATGCTCATTGTTTTGCACCTCTGGAATCTCATTACCACCTTCATCATCCTCGTCATCATCATTTATTTCATCACCGCCGCTGGTACTGCCCCTCTCGCCGGCATAACCACTACTGCCCGGACTCAACGGCCGCTCAAGTTCCTCTGCCTCCAAAACATTCCTCCACACAGAAGAGGAAGAACCCTCGTCATTCCCTCCTGATCCTGAAGCCTCTGCGTTCCAATTACTTCCAATAAGCTTATCATCAGCAGCTCCTTCCGTTTTAATCTCTTCATTCAACGGTCCACTTCCCATGGTTAGCTGGCCCTGCGATTGCTCTTCTTCTTCCACAGCGTCCTCATCGTCAAGCGTCGCCGTCGGGGAACGAGAGGACATGGAAATCGAGGCTAATTGGCTCTCAATCGCGTCGAGTGACTGGTCAATGGAGTCCGGATTCGGGTTAGGGTCCGGGCTAGTATCGCAATTAGGGCTTCGATCATCCCCGTTCGAATCGGAAGGCATGGATTATCTGAAGTAAAACTGGAATCAAGGTGAAATTCAGGGTTGTGAAGAAACCAGAGCTTAATCTTCAAAACAAAATCTCCTTCTCTTCTCGTCCCCACGAACACCACCGAAGCTGACGGGTGGGCATCACCCCTACCGGCCAGGGTGGGGGCCAAAGACAAAGCAAAAGACGACGTCGTTTTTGTCGACTAGGTTGTGGGCTCATTAGTGACAGCGATCAGGTGATGCGTGGTGGATAACTGTACAACAGATGGCCCCGTAAATACTATGGGCCTTATGGAGTAGGCTGAGTAGAATTGAGGTCCATTTGTGGACTGGGGATGGAACCATTATTCTTACACCACGTAAGTACACCAAAGAAAAAATAGAGAAAATTACATTATTTATCTTCTTATTTATAATTTTTATAATTATAAGTATATTAATTTTTATTATCTATGAACGGTTGATTGATAACTTTTTTTTTTGTGTGTGTGTCATAAGTTGTATTTTTTTTACTTATGATTGTTTATAAATACTATTTTAGAATTCTCTCCTATGAGAGGTGATTCCTAAGGTTAGGGTTGTCATTCCTTCTTTGAAGGTTTTCTTCGATTCTCTCCTATTCTCACCTACAGGGGTTTTCTCGGCCGTTCATATCTTAGTGTAGCTCCAGTTTTTTCTGTTTTTAAGATGACCGGAAAGGACGAATTCGCCGGAGTTGCAAATGTAATGGCTCAGAGGCTGAAAGGGTGTTCACTCTCTGCGACGAAAAGTTTAGTCATTCACATTGCCCATGACTATATTCGAACCAATGCAGAAGAATGTAGGAGATGCTTGGTTGGGGAAATAGTAGGCAAACATCGTGCATCACTATTTGGGCTCAAGAAAACAATGACTACTATATGGAGAATTCAACAAAGTCTAGAAGTCAGAGAAATCAGCCCAATTTTTTTCCAATTCATCTTCGAGAGCAGAGGAGACTTAAACAAGGTGTTATTGGGAACTAACTGGATATATGAAAATCAATACCTGATTTTAAAAGAATGGAGGAAAGGAATCACATTGTCTGATACCTGCTTTGGCTCATTAGACCTTTGGGTTCAAGTCTACAACATCCCTCTTGATTGGTTGAGTTTGGATGGGGGACTCAAAATAGGGAAGGTTTTCCATGATGTCAAGAATGTGATGATTACAAATGTGAGGGGGAGGGGGAGACCGGTGGCAGAATAATCAGATTACTTGCATCAATTGATACCAGCAAAGCTCTCCCTAGATGCACAACTATTAGACTGGGAGAACAACTTACACAGTGTATTTCAAATATGAACGATTGGTTAATCTTTGTTATTACTGTGGGGAAATAGGCCATCTGGATAGGTATTGCCAGAGGAAAATGGATGACATTGCTAAAAAGGAAATTAAAGAAGGACAATATGGGGATTGGATGAAGGCAGGAGAGGCTAAATTCACAAACTTCTCAGAGCAACATAGCTAATCCACGGATGGAGAAGCTAATAGATCCACAGACATGAACCAGAACCAGAATCATCAGAATGAGGATCTTAGCACATGAGGTATCAGGCTTCTTACAGACAGAGTAGAGGATTGTCATTAAAGTCAACCTCTACTTCAAAAGAATCCCGGCCTAGTGGAATCAAGTTCCTCCATACAAGAATTTCATAGCTCTAATGGGGCCTCCGACATGAAAGAATCAATGGCAAAGAACAACAACACAACACTTGGTAAGCCAGGAAATATCTCTCAAACTCCCACCGGTAAGGAGAATCACGCAAAGTTGAGTGCTCATGGACCATTGTTGATTGAGAATACCCCCTCCCCAACAATTCCTATGGATATTCTACCTAATCAACAAAAAACATGGAAAATAGCAGGGGTTAAGATAGGAAGACTCTAGAGGAACAGAGAGGCAAACATCTTACCCCAATCCCAAGGGGTCAAGAAAGACAAACATGGAGGCACTGCTATGACCACAATGGAGGAAGATCAGGAGTTGGTAGAATCAATTCCTAAGAAACTGAAGAACACTATAGCTCATGTGGAGACGGCCAGTCTCAAATGGCCCCAAAGTGACCAATGAAGGCAGTGGTGTGGAACTGTAGAGGCCTGGGTGGGGCCTCCACAGTTCCCCAGTTGAGGGACACAATAAGAGCTCACCACCTACATTTTGTCTTCTTATCTGAAAACTAAAAATACCAACTTTTTCACCTAGACAGTATGCAAAAAACTGAGATTTGCAGACAGGAACATAAAAGTAAAGCCAAGGGGCCCTAGTGGAGGTCTCATGCTGGCTTGGAACAGAGAGGCGGAGATACACCAAATTATCAGTGATTCTTATTGCATTGAGGTAGAATTCAAAACATCAGCTCAAATGGGTAATATTTGTCTACTTGAGTATAGACAAAAGCACACAAAAGAAAGCCATTGGATAGAATTAGAATCTAAGAAAAAACTTTGGGGAGACAAGTGGTGCATAATTGGAGAATGGAATGATGTGGCCTGGATGGAGGACAAAAGAGGAGGCAGGCTGAGAACTACTTCAAGTCTTGTGGGTTTCCAAACCTTCCTAGCTAACATGGGCATGGGTGAGGTGATGAGAAATGGGTATCCTTATACCTGGGGTAACAACAGGGACCAGAAGGGATTTGTAGAAGAAGCTCTTGACAAAGCCTATGCATCTCTGGCATGGTTGAATTGCTACCCTCAAACTCAAACCACTTCCTTCTTCAAGAGTTCCTTTGACCACTATCTGCTGGTGTTGGATGATGAACTAACAAGGGTGGCATTTAAGAAAAGATTTTACTTTAATAGAAGGTGGATTAGTAGATTAGGGTTGGATGAGGTAGTTCAAAGAGTCTGTGAAGGTTCAAGAGATGACACTCCCATGTTCAAACTCAAGGAGAAGATAAAATGCACCAGAATAGCCCTTCTCAAGTGGAGTAAATACTTCAGGGCCCAATAGATCTTCAAAAAGGAAGAATTGTCTCTTAAACATCAGGCAATAAGAGAAGCAGAAGGCAACAAGAACTGGGAGGAATAGGATTCCTTACAAATAGAGATGAATGAGGCAAATCAGTTGAGGAAATATTTTGGCAGCAAAAGGCCAGAGCCCAGAGGCTTAAAGAAGGTGATCAGAACACCCATTATTTTCCATGCATGGGTCATGCAAATAAGAAGACTAAATGCCATAAGTAGACTTGTGACAGAACAACAAAGGGTTTGTGAGTCCACTGAGGAGATAGAGAGCCACGTGGAGTCATTTTATAGCAATCTCTTCTCATTAGAGGGATCTAATGGAGAGGACAATATGTTGAAGCATATACCATATACTATCTCAGAATCTGTTAATGAAGATCTAGTGGCCCTAGTGGAAGAAGCAGAAATCAAGCAAGCTCTATTCTCTATGAATCCAAGAAAATCTCCAAGTGCTGATGGCATGCCAACCCTATTCTTTCAACACTTTTGGCCCCTAGTAAAATCTAATCTTTGTGAGGCAGTGGTCAGTTTTTTCTAGTCTGGTAAACTTCTTAATTACTGGAATCATACTCTAATCACTCTGGTGCGTAAATGTGATAATCCTGATCATCTTAGCCAATTCAGACCTGTTAGTCTTTATGTTTTTATCTATAAAATGATTTCTAAGATTCTTGCTGGTAGATTGAGAAATTGTCTTAATGATTGAATTGATGAAGCCCAATCTACTTTTTTAGCTGGCAGGCAATTGACTGATAATGTTGTTATAGCAAATGAGCGGCTTTATTTTTTAAACAGACATATATCTGGTAAACACTCTTATATGCAAATAAAGCTAGATATGATGAAAGCATATGACAGAATTGAATGGGGGTGTATTAGGTTAACTAAGCTATGATGGGGTTTGCTCAACAATTTGTTACCTGGATCATGGAATGTGTTACAACTGTCTCTTTCTTATTCATTATTAATGGCAGCATTAGTGGTCACCTCAGGGCTCAAACGGGAATTAGGCAAGGGGACCCCTGTCCCTTTCCTATTCATCATTGTTTCCCAACTATTATCTGCAGTGATCTCAGTTGAAGAAGAAAGAGGAACCTTCAGAGGCTTGTCCTTAGCCAGAGGTGCACCTTCTATCACCTATATGCTCTTTCCAGATGACTCTCTACTCTTTTGTAAGGCCAATGAATACCAAGCCAGGGTGGTCCACTCCATTCTTGCCAGATATCAAGCTTTCTCCAGACAGAAAATCAACACTTCTAAATCCTCCATATTCTTCAGTAAGAATACTAGTGCGCAAGTCCAGGCTGAAGTGTGTCAATTCTTCCCAGGCATCCAAATCCAGAAGTCCACAAGATACTTGGCTTACCTCTTGGAATTGGCCACTCAAAAAATGAGGTGTTTAGTTTGTTTCTGAGGTAGTGAAAAACAGAATTCTCAGCGGGAAAACCAAATTCTTGTCATCAGCTAGTAAAGAGGTTCTGATAAAATTAGTTTTGAATGCACTGCCTCTCTTTGTCATGTTCTGCTTTAGATTACCTTTAAACATTTGCAAGGAAGTTGCTGGTACATTTGCTATGTTCTGGTGGAGCAAAGGCAGTGATCACACATCTAGCATTCATTGGAAAAGATGGTATCTTCTTACTCTATCCATGAATCAGGGAGAGCGCGTCGGAGACGATTCCCAAGCAGAGAAAAAAGAGAAAACCTCACGGGCAGATGAAGGATCTGACGGCGGTAGACATACTATGGAACCCTGCAATTCGTAACATGGTTGATACTCTTAACGGATGCTTAAGCGTTCCCATAGGGCGATGATTGCGGATGTTACTGCGTCCTACGTCGGTGGGAGGTACCCGTGAGAGGTCGGCGGCGACCAGATGGTAGTGGTGGGTTTGGTGTCGGTGTGTCGTTGTACGTGTGTGTGTGTGTGTGTGTATGCATGTGTTTGTGTGTGTTTGTATGCGTGATATGTGTTGATGTGTGTGTGTGTGTATGTGTTATGTACGTGTGTTCGTGTGTTG